GGGGAAAGGACAACAAACAGCTGCCAAAGATTTGAAAGTGGCAATCTGGTATTCTCATCCTCCTCTTTTAGGGTCCACAACGATTTTATATTCTTCACATAACAACTAAAATATACTCTTCTTATGGCTCTTTAAGGACAGAATTATAGTATCCTATCTTCAAATAATTCCATGTTGCTAATATATTACCATAGTTTCCATATCACTAAGAATAATGAAATAACATTTCTCATATCCTTCTTATCCCAAGAGATCAAAAACCTCTCTCAAACCTCTCTTCACAAAAGTCCTAACCCCTTTTACTTTCATTTAATCAAACGCCTTCTCTTTCTTCTTCTATACCTACCTCCAATGGACTTTGATTAAAGCCCTGCAAAACTGGGACTTTGTTATTCTCCTTTCATATTTTGATCTGCTTCCTCTCCTTCATATCCCATATTATCTATAAAACTCATCTTCATGCCACTGAATTTCTCCTTTATAATTTGGCACAAAAAAAAATTTCTACACAACCCCAGTTAATTGCAATACTGTTGCCTTTGGGGTTCTTAAAAACTTACAAACACATGTTTTATTCCAATATCTTTTGGTGACTTCTAATTTAGCCAAACATTTCTGTTATATAAGGTTTTGGAAGTTAACCCACTGAGTACCCAAAAAGCATTTCTAGTTCCTTGTCACCTCTTGAAATCTCCCTTTCAATTAAATTTTACTTGCTTTCTTTTTTTTATTTTTAGCCAGTTGGGGTTAAATGACTTGCCCAGGGTCATATAGCTAGTAAGTGTCAAGTTTTTGGTCTGAGGTCACATTTGAATTCAGGTCCTCCTGACTTCAGGGCTGGTGCTCTATGCATTGCACCACCTAGCTGCCCCTAAATTCTACTTATTTTCAAGTTGCTCCTTGATTTAATCAAACTTTTCTGTTTCTGTGAGCAAAAAGACAATCTTAAAATTCAAATTGTAAACTTGATTTGAAATACTTCACTTCCTTTAATCTGTGGTCATGTGATATTGAGTAGCTATCATACACATCTATGGTGATGCTCCTAAGTTGATCTATACCCTTCTCATGTCACCTAGAGCAGAAAACATAGATATGCCACTTAATTCCTGGCAGGAATTGATTAACAAAAGCAGAGTCAATAATTTCAGCATCACATAGTTTGAGTGGATCTGGCCCCAAATCCCATCTAGAACTTTTACATAATCTTTTATAAAAATGATTAGGGATCTCATTTTCTTCTTGACAAGTTGTTCAAAATCTACTCTAATTAATATCTATACCCTAATCAGAGAGTCTAATAAAATTCGTAGCAAAATTTCTAATTGCCAAACACACACCAATTCAAAAATTTCTTTCTAAATTGATTAGTGCTTAACTTTAATTTGTAAAATTCCCAAGTATCTAATTAGATGTTCAAATAAAACATTTACTTTTGGTTGTTCCCTGACTTACACAAACTTTTCTCTTTTTAGAGGGAACAGGAAAGAGTTAATAATAAGCAGATAGTTCCCAAGTGCCACATCTATTTAAAATGTAAGCTGCAACCTATTTTTTCTTCACTTTGAAACTTTGTTGACACTATTTTCAAACTAGCTTCTTTCTAATAAGTGAAATTACCTTCTTCTCTTAGCTGCAAAACAATAAATCTGTCATTTTCCAGGCAAAGGGTAATAAGTGTAAGTGTTATTTTCCTTGTAATTTTCATAAATTTTTAATTCTCTTTTAAAAAAGTTCTATTATAGAGAGTTAAAACTCACTAAAAACATTTCAGTATGTATAAAAACATTAAAGCCACATTTTAGAAATTCACAATAGAGAACCTACATTTTAGTCATAAACTCAGTTTCTAATTAGTTTGCAATGTCATAAATCTCTGTAAATTGGGGGAAGGATCCCCATCCCACTTGTCTCTTGTCTGCCTCACTGATTTAGCTGGAGTCAGGAGAGGGGAGAGAGAAAGAGACAGAGAGAGAGACAGACAGACAGAGAGAGAGAGAGAGACAGACAAAGAGAGAGATTGATTTGTTCTTTCTGAAGGAAAAAAAAATTCCAATAACCAAGCCCCTAGAAAAAGTTACTTTGACTAACAAACATAGATAATATGACAAGATGACACAAAGATACTAAATAAAATTGGAGTTCACAAAGGAAAGTCCTTTATTTAGGTCAAATTCTGGGAGATACACACACATATCTTTGCTCTGATTTTAGTCACCCTCAATTAACAACTGGGAAGATTCCCTGTTGTCAGGCCTCCCCAACCAAAATGGTACTTCCTTCTCCTGGCTTGAACCAGAAGCCCTCCTATGAAGGAAGAAATATTCCTTCAAGAGTTCAGTAGGCCTCCTGACCCTCTTGCAAGAACCAGGAGCTCCCTTTGAAAAATAAAAATTCTCCAAGCATTCAGTATTGCCCAAAGAGGTGAAAATCCCTTAGGGGGATTTCTCTGGTTTTCTATTCCACTTATTGCCAGTGTATCACACTTAAACACAGATAGGAAGACAAATAAGCATAGCTGTGGCTTCCCCAACTGTATGGGGACTTAACCTGGCTTAGAAGAGAGTGGGGTCAGGAGGATCAGATCTCTGGTTGTAGTCCTTCATGGAAAACAGCCTCAGATGGCAAATTACACCAGTGAGCTCTTAAGATTTTTCCCCAGAGGGTTATTTCAGGGACCACCCCCCCCCCACCATGTCCCTTCATGGTCGCCAAGTGTTGCAATTGAAATTAAGGTAAACTTTGGCACAAAGTTCCAAGCACATTCAATTTACTGGTAAGTCTAGCAATTACCAATAAAAGGGGTCTCTTGACGACTCAGTCAGTCAAAAGACCATGAGGTAAGGCTTACCAGCCTTCATATAGTTTGGGGAAGTACAAGAGAACAAAGAATGGGAAGCATCAAACAATATGATTGGTTACAAAGTCTGAAGATGGAAAACAAGGTGATTGGATGGAAGTCTAGAATGCAGGGCTAGCAACATCCTCTCCTTACATCTAATTGCTATGGAAAGCTCATTGGTGGTGTCCACTTGCATGGATAACAGTCCAGACTTTCTTGAAGAATAGACAACATTGCAGAGATAACAGACTTCCTGGTACCCACATGCATCTTAAAAGGCTGGTTAGGAAGATAACATATCTCTGTTAATTGTACATGGGGAGCCAGGCAATATATTTCTTTGAATTAAGGTGATGTATGGGACAACTTAACTCAGAAAGGAAAGCTAAACTTCCGAACTTAATTCAGAGACAAAGAAATGTGGCTTAGGCAATTTTATAACATATTGGGGGTGATACCAAATAGAATCAATTACAAAATAGAATCAGATTTTCTTGCTTTTTCTCATCTGACAAGACAACACCTGACCATGAAAATCTTTTGTTCCACAAAGAGGTTCAATGATTTTCTTATAGCAAATAATCAACAAACTTAAAGATGAATTAGGTATTTTTCTTTTTCAAAAAACACAAAAGTCCCATATTTGTTCACCTATTTCTGTGATGACAACTGGTTGTCAGTAGTGTGTCACTTATAGATATTTTCAAAAAATTCAACAACCTACCTTCAAGTTAAAGGTAATATTTCATCATGGGGTAAAAAAGTAATTACTTTTTCAAAGAAACTCTAATTCTAGAGAGAGCATTTTGAATTTAAAAATATTTTTAAATTACTTGCTTAGGGATTTGTGGTGGGAGCAGTATCCTAATAGTCCACCCCTAGGGGTTAGGCCAATTTTTCTTTCCTTTTTTTTTCAGATCTTATTAATTTATTTATTTTTAGTTTTCAACATTCATTTCCACAAGATTTTGAGTTCCAAATTTTCTCTCCATCTCTTCCCTCCCCCAGCCCCAAGATGGCATGCATTCTGAATACCCCTTTGCCTAATCTGCCCTCCCTTCTATCTCCCCCCACTTTTCTTATCCCCTTCCCCTTCTATTTTCCTCTAGGGCAGGATAGATTTCTATACCCCACTGCCCGTATATCTTATTTCCCAGTCGTATGTGAAAACAATTTTTAACATTTGTTTTTAAAACTTTAGTTTCCAAATTTTCCCCCTTCCTCCCTCCCTACCCACCCTCATTGAGAAGGTAAACAACTGGATACAGGTTATACATGTGTAGTCATGCAAAACACTTCCACAGTAGTCATGTTGTGAAAAACTAAGTATATTTCCCTTCATCCTATCCCACTCCCCCATTTATTCTATTCTCTCTTTTGATCCTGCCCCTCCTTAGAAGTGTTTGCTTCTGATAACCAACTCCCCCAACCTGCCCTCCCCTTTATCATCCTCCTGCTCTCTTATCCCCTTCCCCCCTATTTTCCTGTAGGGTAAGATAGACTTCCATACCCATTTGAGTGTGTAGGGTATTCCCTCCTTAAGTCAAATCTGATGAGAATAATATTCACTCATTCCCTGGAGAGAGCATTTTGAAAACAAAAGTTTGAAAAGGTTTCCATTTTGGGGGCAGCTGGGTGGCGTGGTGGACAGAGCACCAGCCCTGGATTCAGGAGGACCTGAGTTCAAATCCAGCCTCAGACACATAACACTTACTAGCTGTGTGACCCTGGGCAAGTCACTTAACCCCATTGCCTAGCCAAAAAAAGAAAAAAGAAAAGGTTTCCATTTTTAGGTGACTGTGTTGCCAAAAAAATGACTATATCACCTTGAAAAATTCTCCTATACACATGCTTAGAAAGAGAATTCTGCAACCTATTAAAAATATATAAGTTCAGCACTTTCCAGATAGTTTATAAAAACAAAACAAATAACAAAAAATAGATGGAAATTTTCTAGCTGAACATTATTACAAGAATTTTATGTTTTGTTTTTCAGTTTTGGGGAGAGGAGGTAGGAAATGAGGAAACCAGCAAAATATTTGCCCCCCACCAAAAAAAAAGAGAGTCACTGAAGGTTTATTTTTTTGTTTTTGTTTTGTCGAAGAATGCATAGAAAAGAACATAAGTAAGGCTAGAGGAAATGCAGACAAGCAGGACATCTTTGAAAGCTTCATGTTGGATTTATTATAGCCTTAGAAGGAAAAGCAAGCTCTATATAATAGAGATTCACCATTTCATGTACAACCCTCTCTTTCTGCTTCATGTTAGTATATATTTTATACTCCACATAATATAAGTTACACATGTATGCAATTTATAAATAAATACAAATATATTGAAGAGCTCAAAAATTTTTGCTGACAGGGGTATGTAATCAAAACAACTTGGAGACCACTGTCTTAGAGAAATATTTAGGGTGCTGAGAAGTTAAATGGCTTCCGTGTGATCAACAGCTCATCTGTATTGGGGGCCTGACTTGGATGAGACAAGACCTTCCTGACTTCAAGGTTAGCCCCTTCTTCACCACGCCCCATTGCCTCTCAGAGTATTATGTATCAAAATGTTGCTAAAAGCAATAAATTAGAATCCTAGGATGCCAGATCTGGACAAGACCTTAGAAAGTAGCAACTCCCACTCCATTTTTCAGATGAAGAAACTGAGACTCAGGATGGAGTCAGTGACTTCTTTAAGGTCCATAGGTAATAAGAGCTAGCTTTCAAACCCAGGGCCTCTGACTCTAAATCTGAACAACATACATTATTCTCAAAATAAAAATTCTTTATTAGAATGTGTAGCTTAGAAAAAGAAAGGAAAATACATTTTCCTTCCTTTGCATCAGTGATGTCCCTTGAGGGCAGAGGTAGAGGGATAATATGTTGCACAGGTAAAGCTAATGGCAAATAAGAAATAAATATCTGATTCATTTTCAGCAAAAGAGACTGGTCTCTAAACTGTTCACACCTCCCATGTGATATGAGGGGAGTTAAAGTGTTGACACCTCCCATATAATTGGTGGAGCCCTGAAGTGTTCACATCTCTCAGTAATATGGGGAGTTAAAGTGTTGACACCTCCCATATAATTGGTGGAGCCCTGAAGTGTTCACATCTCTCAGTAATATGGGGAACTAAAGTGTTCACACCTCCCATGTAATAGGTGGAGTCCTAAACTATTCACATCTCACTTGTGACTGGGATCAGGTGCCTTACTGACCAGGGCCAGGAATAGGGAATGAATTCTAACACAAACTTAAAAGACAGTATCATTGGTTTTGCCTAGCTTGAATGCAAAGTTCAGCAGTCCTTCATGTTCCAAAATCAGGCAGATGCTCAGTCAGTTATTCTGCTCAGGTGCTCTAGGAAGTCTCTTTAGATCAAGTTCAGGGCTATTTTTGAGGCTTCCAAGATAAACTCTGGACTTCACCAAGAGGCATATTGCTTAGTGATAGTCAAACTCAGTGAACTAGACACTGTTCTTTGATACAGAGAACTATTCCAAAGGCTTGATAATGTATTTCATAGTTTCCTTCTCCCTTCTAGGGCTCCTTCAAGCATTATATTTCCTTTATCTCAAGTCTGAAGCTCAAAGCTCAGACTTCAGATTGTGGAAGGCTAATAGACCAGGTAGATTTTTATGTCTATAAAAGTAGAGGCTTTATCTCATCCACTCTTATGATCTGAAAGTCTTTGTCCACAAAGAACTGATAAGTCTCTATCTTGTCTCTTGTTTTGACTTCATTTTTCCCATGTTAATTAGGTATTTCCTCCACCTAATTTAAGGCTTAAAAGATCCAAATAGCTCCTCACTGTTTAACTTTTCTTCTTCATAGAGCAAAATATTTTCCATCAATTTCTTCTTGGCATCATTGACTTCAACTTCCCAAGAATCTTCTGTTGCTAACATCAAGGAAAAATTAATATAAGTAGGAGCAAAAAAAAGGGGGGGATCACATTTTTAAGATTCACTAATTAAGTCATTCCTCCCTCTTCCACTCCCTCCCCACTCAAAAATTTTCAATGGCTCAAGATCTTATTCTTCATGTTCCCAGAGGGCGGAATTAGGAGGCTTGGGTAAAAGTTGAAGAGAGAGGTAGATTTCATCTGGATGTAAGGAAAAATGTCTTAACAGTTAAATCTGTCCAAAAGTGAAATGAACTGCCTCTGCCTAGATGGTTCCCTGTAACTGGACAGTTTCTAATCGCTCTAGTTGCTAATGTCCCACCCACACCCCTACCTAAATCACCAATTACCTAGAAAGCCCTGATGGTAATGGGTCAAAGAACAGTTATTTTTCATAATGGGGAAGGGAGAAGAAAAAAGGACCAGAGAACGGTTCTGTAGTAAGTGAATGCCCACAGTGGCATGAGAGCCCTGGGTGCATGTTCAGGGAAGGGAATTTGAGAAAAAAAAATTAAAGCATCAAAATGAAAATGAAGAAAGACTAAAGACAAGCTTCTTCAACCTCACCCTTTTTACTGCCTAAAGACCCAACTCTTGACCTCTCAGGAATCATTTAGAAATTCTGTAACCCCCTAACAGAATACTAAACAGCAGCTGCCAGAGGTAATTTGGGGGTGTGCTGCAAGGTGACAGGAGAATCTACAAACCTCCCCCTGAATTTGGAGTCAGGGAAAGTGCGTGATTCTGAGATGGGGAAGGAGAGGATAAAGGTTCCCATGTTCTTACCATCTTGAGGATGTGAAGGACCAGGACACATTGAAGAGTCAGCCTCTACCCCACTGGTCAGACACTTTCCTTCCCTATACCCTGGTTGGGGCGATGAGGACCCTGCCCCTGCCCAGAGTCCACTCTTGTCTTGGTCATCTGAAGAAGAGACTTCTGTGCTAAGATTGTCAACGTCATCGGTTTCTTCTGGGGTGTTCACTGATGCCCTCTTCAATTCCAAGTTGCTGCCAGAGTTGAGGAGACCCTGATGATTTCTGATTTGTCGGTCTAACTCTGCCATAGTAGCATGCACCTGTGGGGAAGGAGATACATTCTCCAGTCAGCTCTTCTTTATAAAGGAGAATGCATGTGATACAGTGAAAAGAGCCATGGCTTTGGAAGTCAGAAGACCTAGGCTCTTAGTCCCAGCTCTGGACAAGTTGTTCAGTCTCCCTAGCCTCAGTTTCCATATTTGCAAAAGTGGAATTTGCCCTTTCTGACTCACAGAGCTATTGTGAGGAATAAATAATATAATGGATGAAGCACCCTGCTTGCCTCAACCAGCTCATCTATCCAGCGGGTTAAGAGCGTGACTGGGGAAGAAACTCAATCTTACCTGGGTAAGGCTGGGGGATTTTTTCTGCAGGCAGAGATAGATAGCTGTGGCAAAGTCTACAGCACAGTCCTCTGGCAGGTGCCCAGCTTTGGCATCCTGGTATTTCTGGCAGATCTCCTTTGCAGCTAGCTTCTCCACACACTTGTCCTTGGAGCACAGTAGGGCTTTAGTGCTTGGGATTTCACTGATGAGTAGGTCCTTCTATGGAAGGAAGAGATCGTTATGAGAGCTGATAATGCTTAACCACAAGTTCCCCCTAAACCATCTGCAATAGGGACTTTCAAACTTTTTCAGGCTGTGGGATTTTTTTTTTCCAAAAAGAAATTTATGGAACCTTGATATCATGGAAAAACAAATGTCATCCATTTTCCACCTATACAATCCTTTTATTGGTCACTTCCTTGCCCAGTCCTTGATTTGCCCTTGGGAACAAATGCACCACTACAGGGTGAAGGGAAGAGAAAAAATTTGGATATAAAAGTGCAAGGGAGAACATTTTAAAATAATATCCCCTCACTAATATAAAATGTAGAGGGATGGAAGGGAAATTCGAATATTTCTGAAAACTAAACTCTACTTGCCAAATATCCCACCAAACTCAATGAACTTCATAGAACCCTAGGCATCCCATCGTGGAACCCAGTGAGAAAACCCCTGGTCTAGACAATGAAAAATTTCTGTTTGGCCACTAGCCACATCCTGACCCTTCCAAAGTGGCCACTTTGTAGGCTTGGGGGAAATGGGGTAGGCCTATGGACTGCAGTGATGGGAGAAAATAACAATTCTTTCCTCTTCTAGGTGGAAAAAGAGCCCCTTCCTGCTTCTAGCCCTGACATAGAATGGAGGGCAATACTGGGGCCAGCCAAGAAGGGGAAGAGTTTTGGTCCCGTGCAAAAGGAAATTGCCTAATCCAAAGGCTGCATGACACAACACACCCTTTACAGGAAATTACCTACCCCAATGAGGGAAAAAATGAAACTACTCAAATGATAAAGTCTGTAACAGACAGCAGAGAACTATCATTCAGACTGGAGTAACCCATGAACACCATGAAGTGCTGACTTCTGTGTATGAAGGCTGAGTCAGTAAAGCAAGGGCTTTTGAATTGACTGTTACTCCAGGAAGGGAGATACATTTGCCCAGCATTTCCAAACTTACCACAGTAACCAGGGGAACCCAGCAAAACAAAGAAAGGAGAGAGGGCAGATTTAACTATAACTAACTGCATCAGTCACATGGTTTGGTATGGGGTGGCCTTGAGCAAGTGTATTTGGGAATCAATAAGTTAATCAACAAGTATTTATTGGGGCAGCTAGGTGGCGCAGTGGATAGAGCACAGGCCCTGGATTCAGGAGGACCTGAGTTCAAATGTGGCCTCAGACACATAACACTTACTAGCTGTGTGACCCCGGGCAAGTCACTTAACTCCATTGCCTAGCCAAAAAAAACCCCCCAAAAAACCCCAAGTGTTCCAGACAGCAGTGCTAGGCACTGTGAATAGCATGAAAACAAACTCTCTTGAACACTCCTGTCCTAGAGGAGGAGCTAATATATACACATAAGTAGAAACAAAGGGAAGAGTGGGGGAAGTATTGCTCCGAGATCAGACCGGCCACAGCCCTGCTGCTGCCTTTGGGCAGACCCGGTTTAGCACTTGGGAGAAAACAAAGAAGGTTTTCTGCAAATGGGGAAGGGCATAGTGGTAGCTGAATAGATGAACACTCATATTTTGTGGGCTCTGTTGGAATTGAGAATTGTGGGAGTTATGACCCGTCTCTTCCCTCTCCTCTCCTCTAACTTCTCCACAACTGTGGCTCTGCTTGGTACCTACTCCGTAGTCAAAAATCAAGTTACCAGAAGGGTGACTCTGTGAAGACAGGGTCATTACAAAACAGCCAAGGCTACACAGGTGACTAAGACTACCTTCCATTGACATGTCAGAGAGCCCCAGAGAGAACACACATCCTCCCCTCCTACCCCACACCCGAGCCAGTCTCTGGCTAAGGTAAAAAGGTTATGAACGGGCCCAATGAACTTGGCCTTGATAGTACAGAACCTTAACTAAATGAAGCAGGACCTTACCAGATAAACTGGAGTTCTCTCTTTATCCATCGCTGGGATACCAGTCAGAATCTCTGCTAACACCTAGTGAGAACATTTTATTAGGGTCTTGAGTATGCTTGTATACATAGTCTATTCAAGAGAGTTACCTACGATTCATAATAATAATATCTAGTATTTGGAAAGTACTTCAGCCTCTGTGTGTGTGTGTGTGAGTGTATATGTAATGTATATATGTTTAAAGCTGTTTCCAATTGATTACTGAATTTGCATTTGTCCCCAATATAGTAGGTGTTAGGTGGTACCGTTATCACTGCTCCCATTTTTCAGGTGAGAAAATTGGCACCACTGTTATGCAGACCTGAGCTACTACTAAGATGGTCCCCAGAAGGTCTTCCCTATAGTAGAAAGTCTCTCCCTATAGTACATGGGGTCACGAAGAATTGGATACAACTGAACAACTCTGATCCATACTGAGTATAACTCCCAGACTCATCTCTTCTTTAAGCACTACTTTCACTAAGTTACTCTACTACCCAGAAATCTTTACAGGATCATAGAATCAGAGGTAGAAGGCACCTGAGAGACCATCTCATCCAACCATGTATTTTATAGACCAGGAGACTAAGGTTTAAGGTTATACAGGTAGCAAGTGACAGAGGCAGAATTTGCACCCAGGTCCTCTGACTCTAAAACCAGTGGCCTTTCCATTGTACCATATTGCCTTTGGTGGCCTCCATTGCTTACAAGCTACACTCCTTAACTATTTTCCTAGGCTATCCGAAATCTGTCCCCAGCGTAGCTAGCCAATCTTACCACCTACTCTTCTTCAACACCAACTTCCTCCTGATGAAGTCATGCCCCTCACCACTCCACAGGCATGTTTGGCTCATTGCCATCTGCGTGACTTTACTCTGTGCCCCCTCCATTCCGTCTGACCAAATCCCACCCAACCTTCAAGGTTCAGCTCCAGTCCCACTTGTACAGAAAGTCTTGAGCAGCCACTCCAGCCCACACTTGTGTCTCCATTTCTGAAATTTGATACCACTTATAGTCAGTACCACTTGTTTTCCCTACAATTAATCTTCTGTCTCATGTTGTGATATTTCCATCTACTTGTCTCACCTCTCCAATAAGATCTACTTTTTTTGGGGGGTGGGGGGCAATTGGGATTAAGTGACTTGCCCAGGGTCATACAGCTAGTAAGTGTCAAGTGTTTGGTCTGAGGCCACATTTGAACTCAGGTCCTCCTGACTTCAGGACCAGCTCTATCCACTGAGCCACCTAGCTGCCCCAAGATCTACTTTTAAAACGTCCTATTTTAATGAACTTAATCATCAATAGACACAAACATTTCAATGTTAGAAGAACAACAACAACAAAAAAAGACTGTGTACTAAACCATGAACTATTATGTATAGCTTGTTTTTTAAAATTGTGTATAAAACTTAGCAAGGTTGTAACAAAATTGCCCTGCTTGTGCCAAAAAGACCTTTAGATCCTTGACAGCAAGACCACGGCTTTTGATTTTTTTGGGATCCTCCTAAGCAAAGTCTGATCACTCATTGGATTCTTGCAGAATTTAATTAAAGCACAAAGTATTAGGATACACAGGTAGTTCACAGCAAAGGCAAGACAAGAACCCAGAACTCGACTCTGTTCTTTTAACTCTATGCCCAAGGACTTATTACAATACACTACACAATGGAATGTGATTTTTCAAGTACACAAAGGTCTTCTTTCTGAGAGGCTGCCCTTCCAAATGTTCCTCAAGATTACTGAGTCCAACACAAGGGCAAAATGTTGCACATATGGCCACTATTATCTCTTGTTTCTGCTTAACTAGGGAGGATTCAATTCCAGGAAACAGAACTGGAAGGGAGGAGTATATCTTGGAATGACTACAATATAAAAACCAAAGATGCAAATAAAACTTTTTTTTAACTCAGTAACTCCATTTCCAACTAGATCAATGATTAAATGCTGGTGTGGGCCCATTCTTGTCCTAGACGCTGTTGGGGATGCAGAGAAATACAAGGTATGGTTCAGGCCCTCAGGAAGCATTTTGGAGTAGTGGACAGTGACTGGACTTGAAGTCAGAAAGACCCAGGTCCTCCTCTGATACTTTTTAACTTGTGTTACTTAAGGCAAGTCACTTAACTTCCACGAGCTTCAATTTCCTCACCTGTGAAATGGAAATAATAATACCTGTAGTATCTACTGCGAAGGACCTAGGTGTCATAGTACATAGAGGCTGGGCCTGAAGTCAAGAAGACCTGAGTTCAAATGTGACCTCAGAAACTGACTAGCTATGTGAACCTAGGCAAGTCATTTACCCTCTATCTGCCTCAATTTCCTCATCTGTAAAATGGGAATAATCACAGCACCTACTTCCCAGGGTTTTTGTGAGTATCAAATGAGATAACATATTTAAAGCATTTTACATAAATATTGGCCATTGTTGTTAATAAACTAGATGGTCCCTGGACAAGTCCTTTCTAGCTCCTGTGAACCTCCTGGTTGGAGAGAAGAACCACTCAGGGGTCACTTCTTGAGAATGCTAGTCTGTTCATTATTGGAATTAATCAGACAAATTGTTCCGCCAACTAAGAATGGCCACCCATTAGTATCCATAGAATTGAGAAAGAGCTATCAGTCTTGTTGATCATTCCCTTGTCATGCCCCATTCTTTCCACTCAGGGAAGAATCTATGACTTATTAAGTTGCCTCAGGCACATAGAGGTGAAGTAATTTTCTCCATCTCAAAGCTAATAAATGTCAGAGGTAAAATGTGAATGCAATTCTTTGTGATGCCAAGCCTGGCACTCTACCCATTCTGCCATATTACAAGGCAGGCAAAGGAAAGACACTTAGAGACCATCCCTGCAAAGAATGGAAAACTTACTATTCCACAGCTAAAGATGTCAACTCTTTCTGTGAGCTGCCCCACTCTGATGAAATCTTCTGGGACATACGCAGCCAAGGCCTGGAAAAGCTGGGTGTTCATCATGGTATAGGAGGATTTTTTATCATCAGAGGATAATTGAACCCTTGGGTGTCCAAGTTTCGGGGTGAAGTTTTTTTCCAACAGAATGTTGGAGCTATAGGAGATCAAGCAGAGGCAAAATGTTATCCTTCTGAGCTGGCCAGAAAAAGGTACTCAAAAACAAATGAGGCCAAAATTTGGAGTAGCCTGAGTTTTTTCGCTACAATGAATTTTGTTGGATTCCTTGGGTGTGGCCTCAAAGAGTCTAACCACAATGCTATCCTTATAATACTCCTACAAGGTCAATAATATCAGTATTATATTCTCCCATTTTGCTAAATAAGTTGTTGAATGTCAGAACAGGAAAGAACCTTGGAGATCATCTAATCTAATCAGAAGATGAGGATAAAGGAGACAAAGGGTCTTGCTCACAGCTCAGTCTGTGGGAGGCAGTACGATATCATGAAAATATCAGTAGACGTGAAATCAAAGAACATAAGTTCTAGTCAAGACTTTGCTATTTATTTATTACCTGAGTGAACTGGGCAAGTTTCTTTCCCCTACCTAAGCCTCAATTTTCTCATCTGCTAAATGAAAGGGATTAGATTAGAAGAATACTTGGGTCCCTTCCAACTCTAATTCCTTTTATCCTATAAGAGGAAAAGGGGATAAGGGCATCAAGAGCCATAACTAGGACAAGGCAACTGGGGCTTTATTCCAGGGCACTGGCATGTGAGAGGCAAACTTCCTTCCTCTTCCTGTAAACCCTCCAGTCCTCCAGAAATTGCTGCCATGTCTTGAAAAACTCTACCAGCCTATGGACCCTGTTCCCTTGGCTGGCTTGTAACCAGGGTACTCCTTTCCCTTGGCCTGCCTTTCCCCCAACACTTATTGGGATGCTGGTGGGATACTCTGAAGGATAGAACATGGGCTCTCACAAGGCAAGTGCACCCACAGCGTGATTTTCCTCTAGTCCGTTGCCTCCCTCCCCAAAACTGCTTTTGTCCTGAATGAAAGGATTCTAAGTTAGGGCTCTAAGGAAACCGAACTCAGCAACAGTCACTTGTGTCCTGTTCTCACCTTTTGATATTGCCATGAATAATCTTGAGACCATGTAAGTATTCTGTGGCTCCGAGAAAACCTAAGGAAATGCTAATCCGCTGTTCCCAGGTCAGGGGATCAGTACTGTCCTAAAGGAAGAAGAGGAAAAGAATGAGTTACTTCTGGGCTGTTAGCTTTAACTTGAAAGTAAATTTTATGTTTAATTCATGGCATACAATAAGCATTTCCATAACACAACACAATAGAAAAGATGATTGCACATGAAACCATAAATCCATTATGCACAACTTGCTATTCCTTTCAAATATGCAACAAAATGGTCATATAAATTTCTTCCGTCCGCCCCCCCACCCTAGAGATGGCTACCATTAGACGCAAATAGGGGTGTGTGTGTGTGTGTGTGTGTGTAAAATTATTCTGTACATATTTCTATTTATCAGTTCTTTCTCTGGGTGCAGATAGTGTCTTTCTTCATATATCCTTTATAGTTCATTTGGGTATTCATAATAGTGAAAATGACTTATTTGAGGAAAGTAAAGTCCGAATCCTAGCAATCCTAACTCCTTTCTTTAGTGCCCCTCAGAGCATCAGGGGCAGCTAGACGGTACAGTGGATAGACTGCTGAGCCTGGGGTCAACACTTGAATTCAAATCCACCCTCAGGTACCTCCTAGCTGTGTGACCCTGGGCAAAACACTTAACCTTTGGCTGTCTCAGTTTCCTCAACTGAAAAATAGGTATCATAAGAGCGCCTACCTTACAGGGTCGTTGTGAGAATCAAATGAGGTAATATTTATAAAAGCACTTAGCACAATATCTGGCATTTGGCAGGTGCTTTATAAATGCTTTTTCCCTTCCCTATGATCTCTGTGTTTTTTTCATTGCCATCCATGTTCATGTAGCTACAACTTTATCCTGGGGTCTTCAATTGCTATAAAGTCATGAAATTATATAGAATCCTACATTTTGTATCTCTCACACAGTAGCCACATTAATGTCTAATTAAATTTCACTTTCTTAAAACACAGAAAATGTGAATTGGAAGGGAACTTTAAAATACTGACTACCTGAGTTGAAAAGGGCCTTGAAACCTGGACTATTAGAACACAGAATGTTAGTGCTGCTAGAGATCTTGGAACACAGAACACCAGAGCTAGAAGGGGCTTTAGAAATTACCTAGCCCAAGACTTATATGAACTGATGCAAAGTGAAGTGAGCAGAACCAGGAAATCATTGTACACAGAAACAGCAACATTATAATGATGATCAACTGTGAAAGACTTAGCTATTCTCGCAATCCCATGATCCAAGGCAATTCCGATGGACTCATAAAGAAAAATGCTATCCACTTCCAGAGAAGGAACTGATGGAGTCTGAATACAGATCAAAGCATACTTCTTTTTGTTTTGCTTTCTTTATTTTTCTTGGGTTTTCCTCCTTTTGGTCTGTTTCCTTTTGCAACATGGCTAATATGGAAATGTTCTTACATGACTACATATGTATAACCTCTATCAAATTGCTTGCCTTCTCAAAGAGAGGGAAAAGGAGGGAGGGAGTTTGGATCTCAAAAAAAAATTTTAATGAACATTAAAAATGTTTCACATGTAACTGAGAAATATTTAATGAAATAAATAAAAATATATTGGAGAAAAAAAGGAAAATCATCTAGCCCAACCCCTCAATTTACAGAAGAGGCCGCAGAGGCCCAGAGAGGGGGATTTCTCTATTTCCTCCCTCCCCCGGAGAAATAATTTGCTTGAGGTCAAACAGCTGGTTAAAAGCAGAGCTGAGACAAAGAAAGACCTGGTCCAGCGTTGCCTTTCAATGCATCAGTTAACTTCAAGGGCCAGCTCAGTAAACAGATTCCTACCTTAGGTAAATGCAGATAAAAGCCAACCACAATGAATCCTATTACGAAGAAGAACTGAGTACAATAAAGTGATCCCAATTTAAGAAGTATCTGCTCTTTCCCCTCCACCGAGATAGCTCTCCTGGAGACTGAGTCATTGAATGACAGCATCTCCCGATGTTCTCACTGAAGGATGCATTCCTTCCACAATAAAGATCACACACAGCCTACCGGGGATCAATAGACAGTAATAAGAGTGAATGGAAAACATCTGCATGTTGTTGGGTGTATAATCTCTAAACACTTTCTTAAGAGGCAAAATAAAAATCAGGCAATGTACATGAAACTTCAGACTTTGCATTACAATGTGGTCCTCACTTGGCATTGGAGTCTGTCCTCCACGGAGCCGTTGGGCATGTAGGGATGTATCAGGCTGTGAAACACTTCCCCGGTACAAAAGCCAAGCAAGGGTAAGATGTTTTGATGGGAACACCTGGAAACAAACACAAATTTATGTATGAAAAATGCGAGGAGATGAGTTCTTTAATTTCCATTACAGAATGATAGAATTTCAGAAGTGGAGGGGCCCTCAGGGCCCATCTAATCCAACCTATACAGAAAAAAAAAAAAGGATTCCCACTCCACTGTGCCTAAGAAGTAGTCACCTGGGCATGCCTTGAAGACCTCAAATGATGAGAACCCACAGCCTCCCAAGGGAGGCCGTCGTTCCTCATCGGGATAGCTCTTGTCAGGAAGTTTTCCTTAAAACAAATCTAAATCTGCCTTTGATTGTTGCTGAACTCTTATCTAGTAATAGCTGACATTTATGTAGCACTTTAAGGTTTACAAAGAGCTTTATACATATCATCTCATTTTTCTCATCACAACAAACCTGGAAGGTAGGTGCTATCATTATCCCCATTTTATAGATGAGGAAACTGAGACAAATAAGTTAAGTGACCTGCTCAGGGTCACTCACATAGTAAGCATCTAAAGCCAGATTTAAACTCAGGACTTCCTGAGTCTGAGTCCAACACTCTATCTGCTCTGCCTCACTACTTAGAGCCTTTCCTAGGATTGAACCAGCTTTATGAAGTGGGTTCCCAATCTCTAGCTGTTGCCAATATGCAGAAAATCCTAAGGTCTGAAAGATCCCCTGGAAACTCATATGACCATCTTATCCTGCTACCATCCTCTGAAAATAAAAACGACATTAGATTTGACAGCATTCTAGAGTAAGAAAAATACATGAACTATAGCAGTCTGACACAGTCACCTGCTGCAATGGAAAGAGAACCAAACAGAATCAAGAGATGTGGCTTTGAGTCTCTGCTGCTAATCTGCCAAGTGACTATGAGCAAGTCATAATCTATCTCCCCCTCCCCCCAGCTGATTCACCTATAACTGAAAACTGACATTATCTTCTTAACAGGGTCAAATGAATATAAAGCACTTTGTAAACCATGATGTAATAAACAAAGGTCTGCTTTTATTAATGAGTTAGTAGCATAAGTGAACATATTTGTAAAATGTATGAATGTAAATGAACATATATGTAAAATGCTTTGCAAACCTTAAAGGACTATATGAATGCTAGCCATCATTTTTACTATTAAACAGGAAGCTCTAATTAATGCTATGATTTTATTACTATTAATAACAATTATATGGGGAGTAAATCACTTAATAATCATTGAGGTTGATATGGCATTTTAAGGTTTGCAAAGTATTTTACATGTGGTTATTTCATTTGAACTTCCCAATGACCGCATGATGTAAGTACTAAAAATATTATGCTCATTTGACATATGAGAAAACTCTGAGAAATGAAGGGAACTGCCCCAAGCCACATGGCCAGGACATGCCAAAGGCAGAATATGAACACGTCCTCCTGATTCTGGGCCCTGTGCTGCTGCTCCAATTGCTATTGTTTCTGAGGTTCCTTCCAGCCCTAAAATTCTGTCTTAATGGTGAATTCACTCTCAGCATGGCATCAGTACAGCCCAGTTTTATTCCTAATCTGTTGTCTACTTTCAAAAAAGTTACTGTGATATCACTGTTACAAGCACAGTAAGTTACTGGGCTTTCCTATGCCTTGGTCTTTCTCTCTCTACAAGTTACTATATAAAATAAAAATTTGGGTGAATAGTTTTAAAATCCTCAGATGAAAAGTCTAAAATTACATTTAAGTACCATTCAAATTTATACGGTCTTTAATTTTTAAGATTAATTTTTTAAATCTATTATAATTACATTATAACAACATTTACCAATGGAGGACTGTAAAACTTATCGAATATTTTTTGGAGTATTTGGATCGAATGATTTGGCAGCATGATACCATGAAACAGAGCATAGGATTTGGATTCAAGAGAACTGGGTTCCAGTCCTATGGACAAACCACTTTCCCTTCTAATACTCAGTTCCTCATTTGTAAGATAAAGGGGTCAGATAAGATGATATCTATACTTGTCTCCTTCTCTATGACTCTAATGTGGATATGCAATTTTAATTGAAGGTATTTCCAACCAGACACTTACCTAAGACAAATCTGGACTTCCATGTGGAAGAAACTCTCAATGGATATGTCTCTTGGGCACTTGGTCTGTTGAAAACAAATTTATGTGAAAATATTTTAAAAGCAGTCTTCACCACATGTACCTCCAGTGTTTAACACCTTCTTGCCCACCCCTCCGGGCTTCAGCACTGCCCTGTGTAGCAATCAGGTAGACAAATACTTGCCCTTTGAAGCTTCTTAAAGGCATACAACATGTTGTGTCGTTGCCCTTTATAGATATCAGCAAAACTCCCTTCGCTGATTTTGTTATCTTGGCTAAATCCATTGGTGGCCTTGATCACCTCCATTTCTGTCCAGTAAAGGTTCTCACCAATTAGACTCACAAGTGGTTTTTGTTGAGGAATGTAGATGCAGAAATTCTGTGAACCCAAAGTGAAGAGATAAGCAGATCATAAAACCTTGTTCTTCATAGGAGGAGGGTGAAGCACCCTAAACACTGTCACCTCATGGTATTCTTAGAGCTTAAATGAAGAATCAGCTATATGATATAGGTTATACATGTGCTATCATGTAACACAAATCTCCATATTAGTCACAGTTGTAAAAGAAGAAATAGATCAAAAGGGAAAAAAAACACAAAAAAAGAATAAAGTGAAAAAAAAAGAACCAGTTATGATAACGTTCTTAAGGGCAGCTATGTGGTGCAGTGAATAGAGTGTCAGGCCTTAAGTCAGGAAGACCCATCTTCCTGGCCTCAGATACTCACTAGCTGTGTGAACCTGGGCAAGTCACTTAATCCTGTTTGCCTCAGTTTCCTCATCTGGAAAATGAGTTGGAGAAAGAAATGGCAAACCCTTCTAGTATCTTGGCCAAGAAAAACCCAAATGGAGTCATGAAGAGTTGGACATAACTGAAACAACTGAAAAATGGGCTTTTATCTGGGTATCAAAGCAGGTCCTGTAGAGGCCTCCATTTGGTTCACCTTAATTTGGTGATATACTTACAAATACTCAAAACTGACTTCTTTTAGAAAAGATTCTATGACTCAGACTTCTCACTTCAAGCCAGGCCGAGTGAGGTTTTTCAAGAATAATATTTCAGGTGAGGAGAAACAACAAATGACATTAGCTGTAAAAACTGCTACCTAGAGATTTTAGTGGCAACAGATGGAATTTTACCTTCGTATCTAATGAAGTAGAAGGATTTGTTTTTAAGGAACGATAGAGGTCCTCTTCAGTGAAAGGCAGATGTAGGGCTTGGTTTGTGGATCCACTTGGACATGGCCCTGAAATGGAAAATGCATGAAATATGACTGCATCAATCACACATGTTTATTCCTATCAGCCTACATGGAATTGGATTTGTCAAGGGGAAAACATTCTATCCTATGCCCCATTCAGTGGCCAATAGGATTTTAAGACTTATTCTAGGTCCAACTAGCTCTTATCTATTCCCTCCATCCCGAGCTACTTTACTGAATTTGTTCTCTCAAAGGTCCCTAATGACTCCTAATGACAAAATCCAATAGTCTTTTCTCAATCTTAATCCTCCTTGACTTTTGTTTTTTTTTTGAAACTTCTGACACTATAGAATTCTCCCTTGCCTTCCATGATACTGCACTTTTCTGGTTCTCTTCCTTCCTCTCTGACTTTTATTTGTAAGCTCCCTTTCCTGCTCCAGATTACTATATGTAAGTGATTCTCAAGGTTCTCTTTTCAGGTTTGTTTGTTTTTCTCAATACACTATGTTTTGGCCGTCTCAACCACTCCCCATGGCTTTGGGTGACCCCCACATCTATACCTCCAACCCCAACTTCTAGCCTGAACTTTAGCCCTTCATGTCCACTTACACATTGAACATTTCCAGTTGGATGACTTGCCAAAACCTCAAAACATCTAAGGCTGATGATCACATCATCTGCCTCACAAAAAACACGTTCTTCCTCCAGCCTTTCCTGAGATCATTAATAGCACCATCACTTTCCCAGTTATTCAAGTTCAAAACCTTGCATCTCCAACTCCTCCCAATCATCCATTGCATCTTACCAGTTGGCAAATATTGCCCATTCTATCTCTGAAAATTTTCTGATATTGGTCTCTTCCTTTTGACTCTCCTGTCATCACCTTGGTAGGGGCCCTCTGACTCTAAATTGAGTTATTTTAATAACCTCCTAACTGGTATCCCTATGTCTGATCCCTCCCCTCTCTTATCTAGTCTACATGTGGCTTCCAAAACCATCTCCACAATGTACAATTCTCATCATTCTACAGATCAAAAAACATCACTGGCTCCCCATGGCCTACTGGGCAAAGCCCAAACTTGGTAGCATAGTATTTAACGCTCCAGCCTACCTTCCCTGACTTATCTCTCAGTATTTTCCTTGACATACTCAACAATCCAGTTCACTGGGGGTAGACCACTCCCCACCCTTTGAATGTGCCCTCACATTTCCTAACTCTGTGTCTTTATTTATGTCATTCTCTTTTCCTAGAATGCCTTTGCCTTCTTTCACTAACTGTTGAAACTCTGTCGACACTTCAAGGGCAAGCTCAAATACCATCTGTGCCTATCTCCAGATTCCTCTCCCCCTAATCAGAAGTCACTATTATTCACGTTTTCCAAACAAAATAAAACTAAAAGATAATGGAACCAGCAAACTCTAGACTTGTGAGCTTGAAGTCTATTCCTGGCAAAATTCTAGAAACTATTATTAAAGTGAACCACTCAGAAAGGAAATGGAAATTTTTTAAATTATGGTTTCTACAAGGCAGGTCTTGCTAACCCTTTCCCTGCCAGGATTACTAAGCTGGTAAATCAGGGGAATGCTACAGATATATCTTACAAGCCACAGAATGCTAGGAACATTGTTTACATTTTAGCCAAGCATTTGATAAAGAATTTCATGCTATTCTTGTGAAAAAGATGAAGCTATGTGGGCTAGACAATAGTACAATTAGACAGATTCAGAAATGGTTGACTGTCTGAATTCAAGGAGTAATCAATGGTTAATGGTTCTATGCCACTATGGAAGGAAGTCTGCAGTGGAGTGACCCAGATATCTGTCCTTGTCCTTGTGCTATTTGTCATTTACATCAATGATTTTTTTTAAGTGAGGCAATTGGGGTTAAGTGACTTGCCCAGAGTCACACAGCTAGTGAGTGTTATGTGTCTGAGGTCAGTTTTGAACTCTGGTCCTCCTGACTGCAGGGCCAGTGCTCTATGTACTGCACCACCTAGCTGCCCCCAGTGATTTGTTTAAACATATACACGAGAATCAAACAAGATAAAGCATGTGAAGTGTGTTGCAGACCTTAAGTGTGACGCCTCACAAATTCCATCTTACTAGATTTGGCCCAGTTCTCTAGGCTTTCAAAGTAATTTTGGATCCTGACGCCAGCCCTGGTGTGTAAGCTATCCCTCCTAGCTTCATCCATCTGCAAATATGACCAGGCGACTGTCTATATGTTTAATTAAGTCGCTGATACAAATGTTAACACTACCCAGGGTGTCAAGTACACATAAACAGGAATGAGACTGATGGTAATAATAATGATGGCTACTCTTTTCTTTCTTTTATGTCAAGGTTACTAAATTAGTAAATCAGGGAAATGTTATAGATATAATTTACCTAGATATTTAGCAAAAATTTCACAGGTACAGACCCCACTAGGGAACTCCACTGCAGAATTCCTTCCAAGACAACATGGCTAGCACTTATATAGGGCTTTCAGGTTTGCGAAGTGCTTTACAAATTACAAATTATTTTGGTCCTCACAACAACCCTATGAGGTAACACTACTGTTTCACCCATTTTGCAGATGAGGAAACTGAAGCAGATAGAGGTTAAATGATTTGCCCAGGGTCACACAGCTAATAAATCTGAGACTGGATTTGAACTTAGGGACTGTCTTGACTCCAGGGCCAGGGCTCTATCCACTGTTCCACTGAGCTGCCATAGAACCATTAACAACTCCCCACAAGAATATTAGTTCAGTTGTTGGATCATTTTTTTTCAGTCATGTCTGGCTCTTCATGACTCCATTTGGGATTTTTTTTTCTTTTTTGGGTAGGCAATAGGGTTAAGTGACTTGCCCAAGGTCACACAGCTAGTAAGTGTCAAGTGTCTGAGGCTGGATTTGAACTCATGTCCTCCTGGCCAGTGCTCTATCTACTGCACCACCTAGCTGCCCCGATTTGGGATTTTCTTGACAAAAATACTAGAGTGGTTTGCCATTTCCTTCTCCAGCTCATTTTTAACGGTTGAGGCAACTGAAGAAAACAGAGTTAAGGGACTTGCCCAGGGTCACACAGCTAGTTAGTGTCTGAGACCAGATTTGAACTCAGCAAGATGAGTCTTCCTGACTCCAGGCCCAGCATTCTATTCACTGTGCCACCTAGCCTCCCAACAAGAATATCATATGTTTGATTCTTTGCTAAACATATAGGTAAACTATATTTGTAGCGTTCCCCTGATTTACTAATTTAGTAACCTTGACAGAAAAGAAAGAAAAAATTAGCCCTTACTATAATTACCATCAACCTCATTCCTATTTGTGGGTAAGGCAGAGGACCTGGCCCGGTGCTTTACAGAGGATATTCTTAGTAACTATGAAACGCATGGCTGAATGCAGAGCTGACCTTTTCCAGGCTGATTCCACACCCTAGAAAACTTGCTTTTGTCCTGGGTCACCACATACTGTTCCTGGAAGTACCTGAGTTAGAGAAGGGAGTCAATTCTGAGGATTTCATAGGGCCTTGTTCTTGGATTTCCTCTGGTTTTCTTGCTGAAGATAGAGGGGACCTCCCAGGGCCCAGAGAGTCAGGAAGAACATGAGAAGCACTAGCAATTTCAGGATTTGCACCCCCTAGAAAGAGGAGAAAATGAGAAGAGGGTTTTCATTATGTCAGTGAACAGGAGCTAGATGATATAGAGAAAAGTCTGCCCTCATTAAGACCCAGGAGACAGTTGTAATTCCATCTCTGCCACTAACTCCCTCTGTTAGTGAGTCACCACCTATCTTGGACTCAGTCTCCTCATCCAAAAATGAGGAAGTTGAACTAGGCGTAGGGGGTGGGGAACCCGCGGCCTCCAGGTCACACGTGGCCTTTTAGGTCCGTGGGTGCAGCCTTTCGACTGAGTCCAGGTTTTACTGAACAAATCCTTTTATTAAAGAGATTTGTTCTGTGAAGTTTGAATTCAGTCAAAGGGCCACACGTGAGGACCTAGAGAGCCACAAGTGGCTTCAAGACCCCAGGTTCCCCACCCCTGAAGAGGGTCTCCAAAGTATCTTTACTTCAACATGTTACGGATCTCTGATTTTGAAAAGTGCTTTTGATAAGCACTTAGCAAACTCTGAAGTGCTATATGTTATTACCGTATATTATGTTAAACCACTATTATTACATATTATTATATTCTACATAATATATGAAAGTATTATTGTTATTTTGTTGTGGGAACTCCACTGAGGCAGGAATCCATTGATAAGGTCTAGTTCTGAAGGGCTGCCACCTCAGGCTCAGAGAGGCTCATACAGATAGTAAGTGAGGGGTTGGGCGGGGAGTGGGGGATTGAGCCTCAGGCTCCCTGGCTCAGAGCCCAACACTCTGTCCCCTCTTGGCACACTGGCTCTCAAGGTCCCTTTAACGACATCTGATTCCCATGCACTACTCACCCAATGCTATAGAACATGATTAAATTTCCAGAAAGAAGCACACATTACGATTGTAGTAGCTCTCATTCCAGAAAGCAGCTTAACCTTCTAGTAAAAAGAACATGGAACTAGGAGTCAGAAGACCTTGATTCTAGTCTGAAGTCGGCCCTGGGTATTGGGGGCTACGTGGCTTTGGATAAATCACTTTGCCCCTCTGGATCTCAATAGCTTTAGCTTTAAAAAAAAATGAATTAGGGGCAGCTAGGTGGCACAGTGGACAGAGCACCAGCCCTGGAGTCAGGAGGACCTGAGTTCAAATTCGGCCTCAGACACATAACACTCACTAGCTGCGTGACTGTGGGCAAGTCACTTAACCCTAATTGCCTCACAAAAAAAAAAAAAACAAATGAAGTAAACTGTTGTATTAGATATTCTCTAAGATATCCTTCCAGTTCTAAAGTCTTAGAAACGCATCTACCGCCATTTTTACAGATGGAGTAAATGGATAGCAAGGAAGAATTCCAGAGTCCTAACTAACTGTTGTCTTTACTGAGAAGGAAAATTTACCCTTCACTCTTCCGTGAAATTTCTGTCTTCATCCATTCAATAAACACTTATTAAGCACCTACCATGTACAAAGTAGTGTACCAGACACTGGGGAAGAAGGAGTGGAAGGTGTTTTAAGTTAGTGAAGAATCTCAATCCTAGACAATTTCAAAAACTTTTTGCTGTTGTTCTGAGTCGTTTAAGTTTTGTCTGACTCTTTGTTACCCCTGTTTCCTTCTCCAGCTCATTTTACAGATGAGGAAACTGAGGCAAACAGGGTAAGTGACTTGCCCAGGGTCATACAGCTAGTACGTGTCTAAAGCCAGATTTTAACTCAGGAAGAGGAGTTTCCCTGACTTTATCTACTGTGGTTATTTTCAAATACAAATGATAACTGGGTCCTGAGCTGGTCATTTAATTTCTTGGTATCCCCAGGATACTATCTAAGACTAGAAGTTGGAAAGAAAGTGCCAGCATTCACTGATGAAGGGAATTCCTCACAGGGAGCTCCATCCACTGAAGTAATCACACCACACACACACACACACACACACACACACACACACACACACACACACACAGAGCAGTGACTGGAATAAGACAGCTAGCCCAAGTAAACGCTTCCTGGCAGACAGGGATCCTTAGGGAGCCTGCTTTAATGAAAAGACCAAGAAGGATTTAGTCGATCATCAACTTTTAGAAACGAAAGGGATTTCACAGAGCAGAAAACTCCCAAGCACTAGAAGCCAGGCCTCCTTGCTGCCTGTCCCTGAGCTGGACAAGCCCATGTGTGGGCTTCTGAGGGAAAGCTTCTGGGTCAAACTGCACATCTGGCTACTTCAGTTAGAGCAAATAGTGCAAATGAGGTCACAGCGTTGTTGGCTTGAACCCTTGAGTTGGGGGTTTTATGAGAACTGAATTCCCACTCAAAGACCCAGCATGAGTCAGTACCGGGGATGGGAAGAGAAATCCTTCTCAACTTGGTATGTCCCTCATTGGAGGCTTTGAGGAATTGTGGGAAAACCACTGGACTCAGAATCCACAGCCACTTGTTTCAGTCCTGGCTCTGACACACACTGCCAGCGTCACCCCAAGCTGGTCACATCTCACCTCTTTGAGACTACTTGCTCGTTTCAAAATGGGAATAATCATACTTGCAGTACCCTGCTCCCCACAGAAGGGAGGGAAAACACTTTATAACTTTAAAGCACCATCCATCAACATTTATTAAATACCCACTATATGCCAGGCCCCGGGGATAAAAGGATGAGAGGGCAGGCCCTGCCCTCCTGGAACAATTAGAATATAAATTCTAATGGGGGAAACAACAGGTTGGCATGTAAGTATATTCAGAAAATATCTAAAGTAAACAATAAAGTTAGAAGGCGGTGCCTGAGCTGCATTCTGAAGAAGGCCAGGGATTCCAAGAGGAAAGAAGAGAGAATTCCAGGCATGGGGCACAGCCAGGGCAAACGCACGGGGTGCACTGTGAAATTTGTTCTAAATATCTGATGTACATTTGCCTCGTGCTTCATCATTTTCAAAGCACTTTTCTCACAATTCTGTGACATAAGTACTGCAAATATTGTCACCTCCACATTACAGACGAGGAAACTAAGGCTGAGTGAAGTGACTAGCCCAAGGTCACATATGTAGCTAGTAAATGGCAGAGCCTGGATCCAATTTAGGCCTTCTGCCTCCAAGGATGGACTCTTTCCTACACTGCTACCTTTCCCTCTCCTGCCTTGAAGTTATAGGACCTTGGGCAATGCAATTAATATCAGTGTGGGTCTCAGTATCCTCATCTGTAAAATGGGAAGAATAGTAATACCTGAAGTACTCACTTCACAGGTTTGTCATAAGACTCACATGAGAAGTTTAGTATGTAAAGTACTTTGTACTTGTACACATATGCATGTGTATGCGTGCATGAAATACATATGACTACTAAAGTATTCATGTGTAAAGTATTTTGTACTTATACGCATGTATGTATGTGAAATACATATGAGTACTAAGGTATTTGTGTATAAAGTACTTTGTACATACATGTATGTGTGTATGTGTGCATAAAATACATATGAGTACTAATGTATTCATGTGTAAAGTACTTTGTACTTATACACGTGCATGTGTGTATGTGTGAAATACATATCAGTACTAAGGTATTTTTGTGTAAAGTACTTTGTACTCATACACATGTATGCATGTGTGAAATATATATGAGTACTAAGGTATTTGTGCATAAAGTACTTTGTACTTATACACCTGTATGCATGCGTATGTGTGAATGAAATACATATGAGTACTAAAGTATTTGTGTATAAAGTACTTTGTACATACATGTATGCATGTGTATGTGTGCATGAAATACATGAGTACTAATGTATTCATGTGTAAAGTACTTTGTACTTTGTACTTTGCACATGAAATACATGAGTACTAATGTATTCATGTGTAAAGTACTTTGTACTTATACACATGCATGTGTGTATGTGTGAAATACATATCAGTACTAAGGTATTTTTGTGTAAAGTACTTTGTACTCATACACATGTATGCATGTGTGAAATATATATGAGTACTAAGGTATTTGTGCGTAAAGTACTTTGTACTTATACACCTGCATGCATGCGTATGTGTGAATAAAATACATATGAGTACTCAAGTATTCACGTGTAAAGTACTTTGTACTTATATACGTGCACGCGCGCACACGTGTGTGTGAGATTCAGAAATTCACTAAGGTATTCATGTGTCAAGTACTTTACAAACTATAAAAAGTGATACCTGCATATCAGTTCTTGTTAGCTGAGTGTTTGTGGTCTGTGAGTGAATTCTGTGTGACAGTAACTTTATATTAATCCTGTGTGTGTCATTGTGTCTGCGTGCATCTGGGGTGTCTGTGCCCAAGTCTGTGTGTGTCTGCCTGTGTTTCTGTACTGGACGTGTTCTGGATATCGCTGTGTATCTGCCTATTTGTCTATACTTGCGTGTGGTGTGCATATGGATAGGGTGTGTGGGCTGTGTACTCCTGGCCATCTCTCTTTGGCTCCCCGTGGGTTCTATTGTTCACTCTAGGGCCCAGTGGATATGTCATAAAAGAATCAATCCAAGATTGACAATGACCAGAATAACTAGGTGTTGGGTAGAAAGGATTGGAGAGTGAGAAGCTCAAAAGTTCAAAGCTTCCCTCCCAGTCTTTTCCTTGCAGAATAGGCTTTGGAAATTCCCTGAGATAACCTGCCCAGCCCAATACCTCTCTTTCCTACTGCCGACAAAGGACAAACAAAATGACATCAGGTTTACTTCCAGTGGTGACTCATGGTTCTGTTAAACCAAAAGAACCCCACCCCAGAACAATGGGTCCAAAGTACCTCTGTGGGTCCAAAGCCCCTATCTGTCTCACCCTGGGATAAGACTGGTTCCAACTCTAAGTTCTCAGCAGTCACAAATCCTGGCTCTGCCTGTGCAATAGGCCTTGGCAAGAGAAGGTCAGGCCAAGTAGAATATCGGCCATTAACTGTATCAGAGGGGCAGCTAGATGGCGCAGTGAAGAGAGAACCAGCCCTGGAGTCAGGAGGACCTGAGTTCAAATGTGACCTCAGACACTTGACACTCACTGGCTGTGTGACCCTGGGCAAGTCACTTAACCCCAATTGCCT